CGTCGCTGGAGCGACCTGCGCAACTGGAAGGCCCGGTGCGTCCACAGAGCCTTTTAGCGGAACGAGCGGCCCCCGTCCTCCTCTTTACCTCCTCTTCATCTCCTCTTCCCCCTCCCCCCCCAACTTCCATGCACGCCAGCCGGGTACGTCATGTCAGCGGCGCCCCCTGTGCCACCCTCCGTGCTTCCAGACGTCCTTCCAGACATCTTGGCCCATGGTCGCACGCCCTGTCTTGCCATCCCCTCAGACCTACCTTCTTCAAGACCTCCGCAAAAATGGGGACGGTGGAATTCACCGGGTTGGAGATGATGAGGTAACAGGCCTTGGGAGCCACTTTGGCGGAGGCCTCTGCAATGGTCTTGACGATACCGGCGTTGATGTTGAAAAGGTCGTCTCGGGTCATGCCTGGTTTACGAGGAACACCCGCGGGAACCACGATCACGTCGCATCCCTCCAGGGCGGCGTGGATGGAATCTGCGCCCTTGTAGCCAGTCACTTTGGCGGGGAAAGGGATGTGAGAAAGGTCTGCAGCCACACCGGGTGTATGGACGATGTCGTACAGGTTCAATTCCTTGATGCTGGGGTCCAATTTGAGTAGCATGGATAAAGGTTGCCCGATACCGCCAGATGCGCCGACAACTGCAACCCGGGCAGCGGTCGCTTTCGTGGAGGAAATGGAGCGCACGGCACAGGCCACAGCGCCCATGGCAGCAGGGCGAAGGGAGGAACGGGCGGCGAACATGATGTCTGCTTGGGTCGGACGCTATCTGTGACACGGGAAGGACATTGGAGGGGCGGGAAGGCAGATGCACGCAGGTTGAGGGGGACTGGCGAGTTGGAGATGTTCTCGTCTAAGCAGGGATTCACATGCGTTCACAAGCCCAGAGCATAAACTGCTGTGCATGCAGTGCGTGCCAAAATCAGGACAGTCGGTGAATTGGCCATGCCGAGGGCTGGCTTGCGTGGGCGTGTCGTCCTTGTCTGGCGTCGGATTAAACTCAGCACGTGGTTGCTTTGACTCGGAGCCGGCGCTCGCTCCCAGCGACGGCTTGACGAAGACGAGGCACATGGAAAAAGCACGCCACCGAAACAGGGCCCAGCGCACGGCGTGGCACGCGTCGATGCCCCAATCATGATTTGACGACAACGCGCTCTCTCCCTCGTCGCATGGGCTTGGGATTTCTCCGACCCTTTCAAAGAAACGGACGAAGCTTTGTGCCGGCTGCTTGTGTGAGGAGGAAGTAGCAACTACGCCCTCGTTCGCTTGCTCAACTTATAAAGGTTTCAAATCATTCCCGTCCTCTGCTTTCGACAGGCATATGGCGATGCGTCCAATCCTTATTGCTTTTCTTCTTCTGGTGCTATTGCCCATGCAAAAAGCCTTCCTGGTTAGGGCAGTGCCAGCCATCCCTGTATATCAACCTCCTCCACCCTGCTCTATGGCTGTGCACGGTGCAGGGGACGCTATTTCCGCACCGAGTGGCGCAAGTGTGTCCCTTCTCGCTGGACCTTTCTCTCAGATCGTGCACAGTCGGTTTTCCAACACCCATTACGCTTCCCACAAACCTGTGCATATTTCGACCTTGAATGAGCTTCTCCGCTTGACCCAGCGGGCCCCTTCTTCGTTTAATATCCAGCCGTTCAAACTGGTTGTCATCCGAGATCCCACCCTCCGCGACAAGGTCGGCCATCAAGCTATGCTGGGTGCCAACGGCAACCGTGTTCGGACCGCGCCGGTCACCGTGGTGTTTGCGGCGGACGTGGAGAGCAGCCGATTGATGCCCCAGGTGGTGGTGCTCCTGCGCCAGGCCGGCACGTTTCCCGAAGGATTTTTGAAGAAGATACCTTTCTTTGCCAACCTTTTTTCTACCGGGTATCCTTTCTCCCTGCTTCGATGGTGCTTGTATTGGGGCAAGCGCGTGGCAATGCACGTGGTCGGGTGGTTTAAAGCGGTGCCACGATTGGAACGCCCGGAGACCTGGGCCGTGAAGAACACGATGCTGGCCGCCATGACCTTCATGCTGGCTGCTTCCTCCCACGGCCTCACCACCTGCCCCATGGAAGGCTTCGACGCCCGGCGACTGCGGCATTTGCTCGGGCTTCCGACTCGGTACGTGCTCCCGGTGGTGGTCTCCCTGGGATATGCGGCCACCCCGGGGGAAGAAGCGGCGCAGGGCGGGAAGGAGGGGCACGCGGTCTCCTCCAAGCAACCTCCCCCCTCCCTGCGCTTTCCCATGGAGGAGGTGGTTTGTGAAGAGGTGTACGGCCGACCATGGAAGGGCGTGGTTTAGGAAGGGAAATAGAAAAGGAGGAAGGAGGGAGGGAAGGAGGGAAGAGGAGGGAAGGCGGAGGGAGGGGAGGAAGGAGGAAAAAGGGAAAGAGCGAAGCCTGCGGCCGGAGATGTACAAAACCATAAAATTGCCTAAGCAGGATCTAAAGCAATGATTGAGAGTCGGAAGCCGCCATTTTCCCGTCACATTCTTCCTTTCCTCGCTCCCTCCCTCTCGCGCTTAAAATGCTGCTCAGGGAGACGATTGACGACACCAAGATCGAAGGAGATACGAAAAGGTCAAAGGAGTGCACACGCTCCCCTCCCAGAAAGAAATCACCCAGCGGAGCCCTCAGGAAGCGCCGCTGCGTCAGGCAAGCGCAGTGACCAATCCCTTCCCGCCCTGGGCTCGATAGGCGCCAGCAGGACGGAGGAGGACAAGCTCTATCAGCCCCCGCCCCCCCGCCGGTGCGCGCTTCCCTTTGGCACGCTTTCTGGAGTCTCTGCTTCTTCAGGCGAAGAAAGAGGGGAAGACCACCTTCCTCTCCGCAAAAGGAGGCGCCCTGCTTCTATCGTGCGGTCACTGCCCTCCCTCCTGCCCTCCCTCGGCGCGGTTGCCTCCTCCCGGCTCTTTTCCCTCGCGCCCCGTCCTTCCAAGCACATCACACACACCGTCCAACACATGCACGCTCCACACACCGCCACCATTCAAGGTCACCACCTCCCGCCTGACGTTCCCTCCCTCCACCTTCCCCTCCGTAATTCCACCTCCCCCCCCCCTCACTTTTTGTCCGCCGCCTCTTTGGCCGCTTT